GTAATGACGTTTATAGTGTCACCCAGAACATCACTCAAAACACCACTCATAATGTCACTCAAAACTTCACCCAGATCATCAACATCACCCAGATCATCAACATCACCCAGATCATCACTCAAAACACCACTCATAATGTCCCTCAAAACGTCACCCAGATCATCAACATCACCCAGATCATCACTCAAAACACCACTCATAATGTCCCTCAAAACGTCACCCAGATCATCAACATCACCCAGATCATCACTCAAAACACCACTCATAATGTCCCTCAAAACGTCACCCAGATCATCAACGTCACCCAGAACATCACTCAAAACACCACTCATAATGTCACTCAAAACATCAACGTCACCCAGAACGTCACTCAAAACGTCCCCCAGAGCGTCACCCAGAGCACTAACAGCGCTAAGAGTATCACCCAGAGCTTCCTCTTACTATTGATTGTTTACTTAAGTAAACAATTGATAATAAAATAAGAAGAAAGAACCAAATTTTGAGCAGTAGGATAGAGACTACTTTTATTATTATTATTACTATTACTAATAGATCACTATTGTCTGTTGTTGCTTGGTAGACACATCTTTTCACATGATGTGTGTGCATGAAAAAAAAGGGATAAAACAGTTTTGAATGCATTGTTTGCTTTTGCTAGATTTATGTGTTAGTGTGTGTGTGTGGTTTTGTGTCTAGAGTTATGGGACAATTGTATGGAGTGAATTTTGTGCCAATATTCATCAAACAAATTCAACGTTTTGCAAATAAACACAATTTGCTTTGCAAAGAAATACTCGCCTTTCAAACAAGCGCAAAGCGATTTGCAAATACAAAACTCTATTTGAGAGAAAATGCAGATGGACAAACATATGTATTGTGTGTTACAACTGTGAGACTCGTTTGCCTTTTTATGAGGAAACTTGGCTTGATTTTCTCACAAATGCGTGCAGGCAGATTTTCTCACAAATGCAATTGAGCAACTCTCTATTCCAAAAACAGCAGATAGAGCTGTCGGTCAATTTAAGCTAGTCTTGGTAAACGGGTGCAGTGACGTTGGTTTTCAAAAAGCACAATGGACCAACACCAGCAGATGACATTGCACCCCAAATCATCACAGACTGTGGAAACTTAACACTGGACTTCAAGCAACTTGGGCTATGAGCTTCTCCACCCTTCCTCCAGACTCTAGGACCTTGGTTTCCAAATGAAATACAAAACTTGCTCTCATCTGAAAAGAGGACTTTGGACCACTGGGCAACAGTCCAGTTCTTCTTCTACTTAGCCCAGGTAAGATGCCTCTGACGTGGTCTGTGGTTCATGTTTTTTTTTTTTTAATTAAGATCGGTATAAATAATTTGTAGAGAGTAATAGTCCTCCTGTTTTTGATGAAACATCTGTTTATTAGTGAATTATTATAAGAACAATTAGTATAATGACTACATTAATAGATTCCATGTAAAGCTCTTCTAAAGTCTGGTGTAGATGTTGGTGTGATGTTCTGAGCTGTAATACTGCTGATCTCCAGTAGAGAGCGACACTTCACTGTTTAACACACTGAGTCACGTGATCATGATGTCACCCACAGTTCCAGACTGAAGAATCAGAGAAACATCTGCTTTACTGTGATGCTGAATGTGTGGAAGTTTGACCATGAAAACTTCACAACTGCAAAGAAAAGTAAAAAAATCAACAGTGAAAAAAAGTATGTCTCAGAAACACTTTAAAATTGCACAGATTATAAGACAGTTGTACTACGTGTATTACACAACATTTGTATTATGCTTTGCTGAAGAAATGTGATAGTCGTTGGAAAATTGCATAACAGATGTAATATGCAAATCTAAATAGTGTGTGGTTTTATATATATATATATATATATATATATATATATATATATATATATATATATATAAATGAATACTGGTCAGAAGTAATGATTAATTGCAATTGCTTTATTGTTTGATAACCAGATGTTCATCTTTAGGTCTATACATCAAGCAGTAGGCTAACTCTAATAGTGGATAAAAAAATAGTATCAACTTCATAAATGGTAATGTCACGCCCAGGGCAGGACTTAGGGGGGCGGGGGCCCCTGGGCTTGAGGTTATGTTTGGGCCCTATTCCTACACTACAAATGCCCTCAAATAAAACATCATTATGGAGTAACACAAAACACACAAACATGTGCTTTGAGGTTCATGTCTAGGCTATAGTCAAAGTTTAAATGTAATATTAAATATTCATTATAATATAATAAACAGGATGTGTTCTCTCAGTTGAGAGATCAAAACCCTGAAATAACTTTGAGGGGGGAAAAAAGTCAGAGATGTTGGCTTATTAGTATTTTAAAAGTTATTGTCATATGTGTCCTCCTATGTGTCAGGTTCTTATTTAATCAATAAATTAAATCATATAAAAAGACATGCTGGCTATTAACAATCAAATTAATTCACTATCAACAAAATCCATTGACGGATTGTGCAGAAATGTTGTTAAAATTTTACATTTTAATGTAGAAATATTAAATGATTGCAAAAATGAAATAAGCTACTTTTTTAAATATGAAACTACAACCGCCAGTAGGTGGCAGCAAGTGACTGTCTTAATGAGTGAGTTGAATCAACCGATTCGTTTAAAAGGCTGATTCATTTGACTTTGCAAACAAGTGTACTTATAGCCTGATTGAATCATTTGCTGGTCCCTGTAACGCTGAGGAACAAATCACTGTTGTTCGGAGACAGCGGTTCTGCTGTTTGTTCTATTTTCATTCTGACGGAGCAAAACGGGATTTTGTGTCTGAAAGTTACTCTGTAAGCTGTTGTTTATTGTACATTTGCCATCGTGCAGATATTGGAGAAAAAAAACAGGACTCTTGTTTGTGTGATGTAGGCTAAGTCCTATATACATAGCTATGTTATAAAAACAGAAACACATTAAATTGCTATTTTGTTTATTTAAAATCATTTTGATGACATTTCTTCCCCACTATGTGTAATGGCAGTAAGATGAGAGAGAGCGCTCAAAACTCAGATGATCACATCATTTAGTAGAACATTAATATAGTAATATAGAATCATCCTCTGTAAAGAAATGAGGTGTGAACATTTGAGAATTTATCATTATCTTTCTAAATGTGCGCTCTTTGGGGCTAAAGGCTTAATGGAGCTGTTTAAAGTAGCCATGTGATAACAAACCAATCGGTGCAGACGCGATTCAATACGTGTCCTTCTATGTGAAATAATCATAAATACCAGTTTATGCTGTTTGATTGTGGCCTCGAAGGTCATAGTTGTAAGCTGTAGCCCCGGCTGGCCCGTTTAGATCCTGCGTGCTCAGTGGAAATGCAGTAGAGGTCTGCACGGGACTATTTTTTTCCTGCCCTCTCCCGCAAGGTTCTATTCTGCACCCACCCGCTCCCGCTATAGCATTCACCTTGAGAACTTCATCTTTGTTTCCAAATGCAATGACTTCAGGTTTCTCCTTGTTTAACTGAAGAAAGTTCTGGCACATCCAACTGTTAATTTCATCAATGCATTGGCAGAGGGAGTCAATGGGGCTGTAGTCATTTGGAGATAAGGCTAGGTAAATCTGGGTATCATCAGCATAGCTGTGATAGGCGATTTGGTTCTTTCTTTTAAATTTAAATATTTGTCTTTAAGTAGGTAAGTTTTCCCTGCTTGCACAAAACAATAAGTGTAATTTTTTCTAATCTCGAAAACTGTAACTTGTTAATAAGTCAGTGATAGTGAGAAACTGGAAGGTCCCATGCTCCAATCATTGGTCCTTCGGTGTGATCTATCCTGGACACAGATTTGCGGAAACACCAGACTGCACTTTAATCTACTTGAAATAATGACTTCAGGAGAACCCAGAATAAATCAAGATTAACAATTTATTAGTCAGGTAAAAATGTGCCATGCCAATTGCATAATCAATTCATGAATAATTAATACAATACAATTTTTCAAAGATGAGTCTAAGAGTAAAGAATGCATACCTGACTTCAGAAAAATACATAGTATGGAACATATAAAATACACTTCACACTACTGACTGATCTGGCTACAGAATTGCCCTGAACCTTTTGCAACTTTTCCTTAAGAACTCAAACCAAGACAGACAAATGGAACAATTTGAATTAGCATAGAAGTAGATATTACATGTGCGGAGTTCACACCTTGTGAGGGAACAGGAGGTACCCTGGGGGAAGGCACACCCTCTGCAGTGGGCCACTGATTCCTAAAGTTACCAATCTTTATTATGATGAAGATTACTTCTGTGGGAATGAGACCATTGTAGCAGTCGCACTGAGACATTTCAAATAATACCAAAAATGACTGTTAAATCACTTGCATTAACACAGAACATTGCGAACATTGCAAGCTCATATACTTTATTGAGACCACTTCTCGAGCTGACGCAATTTATGTAATGCTTTTAAATTAGGTAACTAGTTGCTAAAGTTGGCCAAATCAAGTTTAGTCTGTAAGTTAAATAAATTTGTCATGATACATTTCCTAACGGTACCTCATCAAACTTTTACCAACCTGTTGTTAAGCTTGTTTGGACTTAACTGGCAGCCCGCTGGCCTCATACAGATGGCAGTGTCTTTAAATACAACCCCCTGGACCATATTATACTAGGATTATTAATTTTAAAACATTTGAAAAGTCAGACATGAAAGACTATGATGTTAATACTAACTCCAACCAGGAGATATCGCTAGTTCCCAGCCGATCCCTGTATTACAGTGTGGTATGTACACGCTAATGTAAACATTAAAATTAGCAAAGAAATTAATAAAAAATTAACTAGGAGCTAGCTAAGAGGATTTAAAGTACTCTTTCCATGGTAACACAGAGTCCGGTTTCACAACTTTTTTTTTTTTTAAAGGATAGTTCACAAGAAAGAAAGAACTTGAGTGTAAGTAAATAATGACAGAATTTAAATTTTTGGGTTATCCATTTAATTTTTTGTCTCAATTGACCTGAATTCACCCTTCATTTTGAGTTTAAGCTTAATTTTGTTTTTTTGATAATCCAATATGCAAAGTCTTCAGCAGTACCAACTAAACCTCCAACAACTCCTCCAACTACAGGCAAATAGTGACTCCAGTCACGAGCACGTTTTGATCTGTATGGAACATTTGCTTCTGCATCTTCTAAAACTTTATCCACTTCTGTCTTGTGTTTTTCTTCGGCATCTTCTAAAACTTTATCCACTTCTGTCTTGTGTTTTTCTTCGGCATCTTTTAAAGCTTTATCCACTTCTGTCTTGTGTTTTTCTTCAGCATCTTTTAAAGCTTTATACACGTCAGTCTTGTGTTTGTTTCCTGCATCTCGTAAAGCTTTGTCTACTTTTGCCTTGTGATTTGCTTCAGCATTTTTCAAAGCTTTAGCCACTTCAGCCTTGTGTTTTTCTTCAGCATTTTTCAAAGCTTTAGCCACTTCAGCCTTGTGTTTTTCTTCGGCTTCTTTTAAAGCCTTAGCCACTTCTGCCTTGTGTTTTTCTTCAGCTTCTTTTAAAGCTTTAGCCACTTCCGTCTCAAGTTTGACCAGATATTCCTGTTCTGCTTGTTGTCTCGTTTCCTGTTGAATTTTCTCCTGGAGATTTTGCTTGTCTTTCTCATGTTTTTCTTCTAGGTATTTTAAGTTCTGTTGTTGTTCTTCTAAAGCCTTTTCTTTTCTTTTATTTACCTCTTCAAACTCTTTCTGTTTCTCCTCCAGTTTTCTCTTCAGCTCTTTTCGTAGATTCTCATCTGTTTCTTTCTTAATCTCCTCTTCTTTTTTTTTAAAGTCATCTAAAGTTTTTCTCAGTTCATTCTGCATCTCTTGTCTTTGTCTCTCATTTTCTTTCTTCAATTCTTCTCTTTCTGCATTATATTTGTCTCTTAGCTGCTCTTCTTTTCTCTTAAACTCTTCTTCTTTCTCTTTGATGATTCTCTCTTGTTCCTCTTTGATGTTCTTCTCCACCTGCTGGAACATCTCACTGGTGTAGAAACTTCCTCCATTTACTGTCACCATACAGTCAATCTTATCCAGCAGCTCAGAAACCTGTGTCAGATCTTTAATCTCAGTATTATTGAACACATGGTATCTATTTCCACACTGATGGATGAGGTTCTGTAAGCTTCTGTTTCCTTTGATATAATCTTCAACTCTTGTTCCTCTCAGATCATCTCCTCTGGTGAAAAGCACCATGGTGTACATTCTGGATTTATCACCAAACATCTCCTGGATGATCTTCACTGCATCTTTCTCCTCTTTGGTGAATCTTCCCACTTGAATCACCATTAGAAACACATGTGGACCAGGTGCCGCCATTGAGACGCACTTCACAATCTCCTTACTGACCTCATCATTGTCTACTTCAGTATCAAACAGGCCTGGAGTGTCAATCACAGTAATCTGTCTTCTGTTGACCTCAGTTATTTCTTTCTTACACTCTCTGGTCACTGAGCCTGCTGTAATTGTTGATGTAAAAGCTTCTCTTCTCAGTATGGTGTTTCCCGTTGCACTCTTCCCAACACCCGTCTTTCCCAGCAGAACAATCCTCACTCCATTATCACCACTATCATCATCACGGTGTGTTACACCTGCTAACAGCAAAAGCAAAACAATTATTACTCCAAAGCATATGATATAAAATGGTACTTTTGTGCCATTAGACAAATTGTGTCACTGTGCCCCATGGATTTGGAACAAATCAGAGATATGCCTCATTATTGAAAGCATTTATAATAATTACAAGAACAAACACAGCAGTTTCAGTGTCAGATATTCTTATCTTCCACTTACTGATTTATGTAAGGAATTATGTCATAATGAGCATTTAAAAAAACAAACATAATAAGCAAAATGTCATTGTGTAATTATTTATGAAAATGTAAGATTGACAATGTATACACAGTACACTTTTGAACACATACCTGCTGTTTTCATCATAGATCTTCTCAGTTCCTCTATTTCAGCCTTGTGTTTGTTTTTCTCCAGCTCTGTTTGAGCCTGAAGGCACATGAAGGTCGAATAGAAACGTTTTCTGTTCTCTCGTATCATGTTCTCCACATCCTGCAGTAGATCTGGAACCTGTGAGCTGTTCTGCAAAATAAACCGTCGACCTTCAAACATCTGGATAGACATCTCAGTAGTTAAAGAAGGAACTGCATTCATATGACTAATCATGTTCTTCTCTTGGATTATGAGCATCATGATATGTTTGTTGATTCTTGAGCTGAATATCTTCTGGATCTCCTCCATTTCTGCTTTGTCTTCATCAGTCAGTGGAGCATCAGGTATAACGAAGAGGAAAACATGAACTCCAGGATCACAGAGAGACACACACCAAAAAGTGTGACTCATCACTTGCTCCTCTGAAAACCCAGTATTGAACAGAGCTGGAAGGTCCACAAGATTGATCAGATGTGGATAAAGCTTCATGTCTGACTTCTCTTTTATAAGTCTGGATATGGAGGTCTTCAGTAATGCATCACGTCCACACAGCACCAAGTTCAGCTTTCTAGTAGTCTGTATGCTTCCTTAAACAATAATGAGAAAATCTGTTACTAGAACGTATTTAGATGAAATCCTAAATGTTTAACTCATAGTACAGCCTAAATTTCTTAGTTTAAAATAAAGGAACTCAAGTTTATTCAACATGTGACTTGGTGTTGTAAGATCTTGGAGTGAATCAGACAAGGATTAAAAACTAAGCATGAACACGTTACAGTGCACCTTTTTTCAAGCCTTTGAAAAAAGATGATCAACCACCTCTTTAATTATTGCATGAACTAATCTTAAATAATGGACTTTATTGTAATGTGTTACCAGTTTACGTATTTGATAGGGACAGTGTACAATTACACCAAATCTATTTGTATTTAGTTTCAGACTTCGTCTTTGTTTAGTGAGACAAATTATCTGTTTAGTGAGAGTTTGTTGAATAAAATGGTGTTCAACAATTTTTTTTCAGAAATGCAAACAAAGATATTGCCATTTAATCTTCATTTGATTGGCTTTATGTTAAATTGTGTTTAAGAAAAGAAATATGAGTATTTGTACAAAGGAAATTGGTTATTACACTTTTAAAAGAGATAAATTATCTTAAATATTTCACATGGATTTTATTCAGTTTTATTTAGATGTTTATTTACTCCCAGGTTGTGCAATTTACCCCTAATCTGGGGCAAATTGAGTTTTTTAGGCAAATAATTTTTTTAATAAGAAGCCATATTTTTACATTTACATTTAGTCATTTAGCAGATGCTTTTATCCAAAGCGACTTACAAATGAGGACAATGGAAGCAATCACAATGGGAAGTTTGTTCATGGTGAATTCATGCCAGAGAAGAAAAGATGCTGTTGGTAATGTCACGATTTGCTGCCGGAAGGAACGCAGGAGACGCGGAGAAGCATTAAACAGTCTTTTAAAGAACAAACACAGGGGAAAATCCACAACAAGAATGAGGAATGACATACGAACATAACCTGTAGACCCGACAGTGGAGGAACAAACAGACTGGAACTTAAGTACACAGGAATAATCAGATAATTGGGAGGAACTCAGGTGAACAGAATGACTAATCAGAAGAAATGACAACAGGAACAGGAAGGAAACCAAATATGGGCATGAAACACAGCAAAACTAGGTCAAGGGAAGCACATGGGGAGGGAAAACACAAAATAGGTCCAGGGGCGTGACATATCGCCCCCCTCCCGGAAGGAGCGTCCTCGCGCCGTAGAACCAACAGAGGGAGGAGCCAGAGAGGAAACAGGAGGAGCCAGGGCTGATCAGACAGAGGGAGGAGCCAGGGAGACGACAGGAGGGACTTGGAGCATGCGGCGCCAGGTGGGACCCAGGCCACAGCCATGATAACGACCCATGGTGGAGCCGATGGAGGGAGGAGCCCTGGTGGAGGAAGGGCTGACGACTCCAGGGGGCCGACCAATGGCGGCGGAGCAGGTGGCGGAGGAGCCCGAGACAGAGAGCTGATGAGCCAGGGTGACGGGGACGATCGGAGGGCCAAGGTGGAGCAGATGGTGCTGGCGACCGAGGCGGGGAACCAGAAGGCCGCGGTGGAGCCAGAGCGACAGAGGACTGAGGAGGAGCCGAAGGGAAGGAGGAGCCTGACAGTGCCAGAGGGACAAGGAGCAGCCGGAAGAGTGGAGTCCCAAGGCGATGGATGGTCGATGACAGACCAAGGCGGAGCCGGAGGGACAAGGGAGCCTGGTGGAGCCAGTGGACTGATGGGCCACGGCAGAGAGGAGGGAGCTAGGAGCCATGGTGGAGCCGACGGGTCCACGGGTAGAGGCGGAGTCTGGGACTTAGAGACTGGAGGCGGAGTCAAGGGATACTCCAGCCACGGTGACGCTAGAGGATGGCAGTCCCGCGGAGCTCGCACCATATAGATGGTGGGCTGAGGGCGAGCAGAGTGGCTGCCAGATGACAGCGGAGGAGGAGGCAGGAGTGGGTGGGAGGGCGGGCATTTGTGAGCCTCCGGGCTTTCAGGGCTTAACTTGGGAACAGGAGCCCTCTCTGGGCAAAACTTTGGAACAGGAACCCTCTCTCCTTCAGAGTCACACAGCCCATGATCCAAAAATAGCTCACCCTCAGCTCTCCGTGCTTTCACTGTCCGCGGCTTTCTCCCTCGCTGCGGTCATTGTAGCCGGCTCTCGCACCTGGTCTGACAATCCGTGAGGCTCTGGCTCCGTGGCGATCCTCAGCTCTGTCGCTCTCCTGGGCGATGGCTCACCGATCATGACGGGCTTTGGCTCTCCATCAGCGGTGGGCTCGGGTTCGCGCTCCGCACAGCGGGGAGATGGTGGGCTGGGCAGTGGGTCTGGCCGTGTTCTGAATCGGGGATAAACATTCTCCAGACACCGGATAATTGCTTCCCTCCATCATAGTCCGGTGGTGTCTGGGAGGTCGACAGGGCGGTAGTAGTTTGTCCCGATCCATAACAGTGAGTTCAGCGCAGCGTCGTCGAAAGCCGTTAAAACTGCGAGCTGGCTGAACTCAACCGCATACTCCAAGAGGGAGAGGTATTTGCGGGCTAGGGCAGTGAACCTGATGGCGAGGGAATCCATGGAACAACGGAAACAAAAAACACTGGGTGAAAAACGGAAAACAAAAATGGAGGGTAGACACTGGGTTAACTGTTTTGGGTCGGGTCTTCTGTCACGATTCGCTGCCGGAAGGAACGCAGGAGACGCGGAGAAGCGTTAAACAGTCTTTTAATGAACAAACACAGGGGAAAATCCACAACAAGAATGAGGAATGACACACAAACATAACCTGTAGACCTGACAGAGGAGGAACGCACCGACTGGAACTTAAGTACACAGGAATAATCAGATAATTGGGAGGAAATCAGGTGAACAGAATGAGTAATCAGACAAAATGAGAACAGGAACAGGAAGGAAACCAAATATGGGCATGAAACACAGGAAAACTAGGTCAAGGGAAGCACATGGGGAGGGAAAACACAACAAAACAGGTCCAGGGGCGTGACAGGTAAAATGTTAACCAGCATGTGGCTGATTTAATTCAGTAGAATGTCCTTCCTCTAACAAGAGATCAGATAATTTAAGAAACAGATATATAACATTGGAGACAAGAATGCACTGATTGTACGCAATGGAAAAGTCAGGTATTCTTACGTTTAAGTGCTACAAAGATCACGCGACTCTTGGGCCAAGATGGACAAGGTGGCTGACATTGTTTGAACTTTACGCAGACGGAAAAGGACTTATAATTGAAGAAGGTGTCACCGCGTCAGTCCGTCAACGACGCAGAGTGCTTCTTTTGCATCATGCTGGACCTGATGTCCAAGATGTATTCTCCACGCTGCCAGATACGGGGAATGCTGACAATTACAATGCGGTCGTTGCAGCCTTGAATGCATACTTCGTGCCACGAGTGAATGCTACATATGCACGGCAGTCCTTTTATAAACTTTCCCAAAACTACGGTGAGACGGTTCAGCAGTTTGCAACGCATCTTAGACAGGCAGCGAGAGACTGTGCATTCGTGGGCGACATGAATAATCAAATTCAGGAAGCCGTCGTAGGCAAATTCTCATCAGCATATGTGCGCTGTAAACTTTTGGAGGAAGGACCTAATCACACACTTGATCGCACGTCTGAGGTTACTGTTCTCTGTGAACGGATAGAGGAACAGATGTCTGCATCATCAGTGAATGACACATCAAAGCCTGACACAGGGTCTGTGAATCGAGTATGGAAAAAAGGAGGATAGCAGATGAAAGGAAAATTTTAAGGAAAACAGTAAGATGAATAAACAGTGTTACATATGTGGAAATACAGACCATTTGGGAAGAGATTTAAAATGTCCTGCCCAAGGCCAGATGTGTCACAAATGTAAAGGACATGACCATTTCTGAAAAATATGCAAAGCTAAAAATGTTAAGCAAACAGTTAACCAATTGGAAGGACAAACTGAATATGCATTTGTCATCCAAGATTACTGCAGGGGTACAGATAGATTGAATGTTTGCTTGGGGAATGTTCATTTGAGGATGCTGGTAGACTCAGGTGCATCCAGCAATGTCATCGATGAGAAAACTTGGGAGAAACTGAAATCAGAGAGAATTAAATGCCATTCGTATATCCCAGATACAGAGAAGAAATTGTTCTCTTACTCATCTGATCAGCCTTTGCCAGTAAAGGGAGCTTTCAAGTGTGATGTAAGAATAGACAGTCGGATGGTACATGCCGAGTTCATTGTCATAAAAGGGACTGGTGAACCTCTGTTAGGCAGAGACACAGCCATGAAACTTGGAGGACTCAAAATTGGCACAGACATTGCAGCAGTAACAGACCTCATACAATCACTTCAGTCACAATACCCAGAAGTATTTCAGGGAGTTGGTAAGATGAAAACTAAGCAAATCTGTCTGTACATAGATCAAACAGTCCAGCCAGTAGCCCAGCCTTTAAGAAGAATACCATTCAATCTAAGAGGTCCTGTGGAGGAAAATTTAAAAGAACTCCTAGAAAATGACATTATTGAAGAAGTAAATGGACCTACCCCATGGGTTAATCCAGTTGTAATCGTGCCAAAAGCCAATTCTAATGGGTTATCATCAGTTAGAGCTAACACCAGAATCTCACCAGATCACAACATTTGCAGTTCACAATGGAGCATACAGATATTTTTTCCATTCATTTTTGGAGTATCATAATATAAATTTATTATGAGCAAGCACAATCACAATATAAATATAGATTTATATAGTATTTCTTCTGACAAGAGATCAGATAACTTAAGAAACAGATTCATAACAATAGGAAACATTCTTAAATATAAAATTATATATAATTACATATTATAATTGAATTCCATATATGTAATTTATAAGTACCTTATATATATATTGTAGCGTCTGATGCCCTGTTGTGTCCCTATTTGCTGGCTTGTTTAGATGCAGATAAATGGTTCAGTGCTAGGTTTCGATCTTTTTAGCGATGAGGTCCTTGTTGTTTATTTGATCTTTCGATTTCCTGTTGTGAGCTAAATTCGCTACAATATATATATATATAAGAAAAATAAACAATAATTGTAAGACTACAATCAGCTACAATAACAGGCAAAATAATCATATCTCATAGTAAGATCTACTCTGTTAAGCTCCTAGAGATCTAGTCACTAATGTTAATATAATGATTAGATATGGACAATTTATTTTTATTTTTGTTGTTGTTTTTTTTGCTTATTCCTGCACTGAGAAATTATTCACTCACCCTCAGACTGAAGCTTCTGCTTTAACCCATCAATTTCACATTCCATTCTCTTAAGCGTCTCTTCATATTTCTCCTCTGTTTCATGTCTGGCTCTGTTCTCTTGAGCTTTCACATACATCTGAAGTGAATATGGTTCAGTCTTCATGTTCTCTATATAATCCAGTAAATCTGGGATCTGTCTTGAGTTTTCAGGTTTATTTAACCCCATCACTCTGTACTGACCTCCACAGAGACGGATTAACCTCTGACATTCTGGGCTGGATTTGACAAAATCTGTCACTGGTGCATCATCAGGGAGATCAGTGGTGAAGAGCAGTATGAAATGCTCTCTGGAGTCAAATATCTTTTGGATCTTCTCTATTTCTGCTTTGTCGTCATTACTAAGTCGACCAACATTAATAATGAGGAGGAAAACATGAACTCCAGGATGACAGAGAGACACACAGCGGAGATTCTGATGCATCACTTCCTCCTCTGAGAGACGAGTGCTGAACAGAGCTGGAAGCTCCACCAGACTGATCAGACGACCACGAAGCTCCACATCTCTCCACACACGCACAGATCTGGACTCTTGTTGAACTGATATAGTTGCATTTTCACCCAGTAATAGTTTTGACATGGAAGTTTTCAGAGTTGTATCACATCCACACAGTACTAAGATCAGCTTTTGTTTTTCAGACCTTGGAATTACATTTGGCACTGAAAAACAAAAGGAGACAAAAGACACATTTTTCATTAATGATTTTACCATTCATTTATTTATTAATTTATTTATTTATTGACCTGCAACAATAGGCACACTAGAGAGGCTGAAGGTTATTTTGAAGGTTATCAAATCCAGACAGATTTGGATTTACATTTTTTAATGGTTTAAAACGACATGAGGGTCAGTACATTTTAATTTACGCAATTTTCATTTTTGTGTGAATTATCTATTTAAGACTGTTTAAGCGTAGCCCCTCACTTCTGCCCTGTTGCTGCTGGCCTGAAACTGCTGGTGCTGTGGTTCTGCACTGTTTCCCACACAAGTTTCCCACACTGTTGTTTTCTGATGCGTTCTTCCCCACAAGCACAATCCTCAGATCACTCACTGAAACACACAAACACAACATGTTTTAAAATATTTCATACTATTTAATATTTTGCAATCAACACCGTAAAATATTGAAAAATTAAACAGTTTTTGGAGACCAAACATTCTAGAATTAACATACTGACAATTTGCCAGGTTTAATGATTTATGATCTGTCACATTTCTCCAGCTTAAAGTACAACTATACTTGACTTACTCATGGGATGATCACCAAGTGGTCTCTCTTGCTGTCTAAAAAAAAAAAAAAGAATACAGCTGATAAGATTATCTGCATTATGATACTTACACTGTACGTTAATGAGCCAAAGGACAATGCACGTACTACAGTCATTAAAGTAATTATGTATTTATCTGTAATCCCATGTTCAAATTCTAAACTTTTTTTTTAAACATTCATTCTCAGAAATACCATTTTGCAGAGGTGTATCATTTTGAGACAGTAATGCAAATAAATCACTTATGTTTTGACATTACAGTCACTGTGTAACTGTCCCACAGACATCAAATTTTAGGATGAGTGGCCTGTCAGGCTCAATCAAAGGTTTCAAAATCACAATCAAATCCCATAACCATAACGGCATTTGACTTAGTGTGACTTATAGATTATTTTTGACACAGTAATAACTTAACCCTGATTTAATAGTTTTAGCTATACATTTGGATTTATCTGATCATTTTAACATTTTTGACTGATCTGATTTCTGCATTTTATTAAATGCTGTATTACCCTGATTTCAGGCATGTAATTATGCTAAATATAGTTAATGGTTATGAAAAGCGAGTTTACATGTTTATAAAAAGAAATCGTGAATACCTGTAGGGAACATTTTGTGAAGATTATTTTTAGGTTTTAAAAATTAAGACTAAAATGGCCATTTGAGTTGTTCTCTATAGGTTATTATTATTATTCTTTAGGTTGTATATATAGTAATTAAATTAACACGTTAAATTGACAGCCTATATATATATGTATAAATACGGGTATAGTCGTAGCAATAGCCAACAATACATTGCATGGGTCAAAATGATCAATTTTTCTTTTATGGCAAAAATCATTAGGATATTAAGTAAAGATCATGTTCCATGAAGATATTTTGTACATTTCCTACCGTAAATATATCAAAACTTAACTATTGATTAGTAATATGCATTGCTAACACTTCATTTGAACAACTTTAAAGATGATTTTCTCAATATTTTGCACCCTCAGATTCCAAATTTTCAAATAATTGTATCTCAGCCAAATATTGCCTAATATATAGCCTAATAGCTATTATTATTATTATTTTAATTTATAGGCTAAATAAATGAGTGCACTTAAGACAGTAAAATATTTGTCATAAAATAATTAATGAATGCTTTATTTTGAAATAACCTTTTACAGTTTTGGAGCTGTGTTTGTGTACTATTCATTCTTAACATATTTCATTGATTCATTCACAGACTTATTTAGATGATTTTATTATACTAAGCTTTTCCCCCCCAGAGTCAGATGCATGCTTCACTGTTAAAGTTATTATTAAATAACTAGGCCTATTATAACATTGCAATCAGTTAGAGAGCAAAGGAATGACAACAAACATAACCGGTACATTATTGGTTTTGTATTGCTTTTTATCTTCTTCTCTCGGAACTCTATCGTTTTTATTCAGCAAATTTTCTATTCTTCTTTTTAACGTTTATTTTAGGCCATAAAACACATGCGGCGGTGTTTTATCCTATTGGTGATTAATACAAAATAAACGCTAAAAAGAAGACTAGCTATTTTGTGAGTGCGGAACATGGTCTCATAGGCTACTATGGAAAATTATGTTTAATAAACACAATATGCATCCCGCACCGTGGTTGAATCTGCCGGTGGGGGCGGGGGCCACAAATCCGTGAGTACAGTTTACAAACCCGAGGGAACGGATTGCGAAAGCGTGCGCACGGATTATGAATTTGTGGGTACGGATTCAAAAACCGAAGGTACGGTTTACAAAATCTGAGCGCACGGATTGGAAATTCGTGAGTACGGTTTGTTAAACCGAGAGAACAGTTTAAGAATTTGTGAGTACGGTTTATAAACGGATTGTTTTTTTTCTACTACAGGTGACTTCCCGGGCTCCGTAGTACTAGAATTTATGCGCTAAAGTTAAAGTTAAATCCTGGCTCTCTCAATTTTTTTTATCTTTAAATCAAGAGAAAACTGAGGTGATTAGTTTTGGTCCATCAGAAAATACGAAAGCCCTAAATCTTGACCTAGGACCTTTATCGGCTTTTAGGTCTTCACAGATACGGAATCTGGGTCTTCATTTAGATGACTCGCTAAAATTTGATAAGCAAATTTCTAGATCTTGCGACCAGAACCTTCTTGTAATTCCACATACCAGACTCAAGCGTAGAGGTGACCATGCCTTCTCAGTAATTGGGCCTCGTCTTTGGAATGACTTGCCAGTGGCGATCAGAACGCCCCGTAGCCTGTCTATTTTTAAGTCTCTTTTAAAAACCCATTTGTTTTCATTGGCCTATTAGGACTATATTTTTGCCTATTGTATTTCTTATTTGTGCTTTAATTTTTGTATTACTAAATTTTTATGATGACGTTTCTTACTGTGAAGCACTTTGGTCAGTCTTGTGGCTGTTTTAAATGTGCTATATAAATAAAGTAAACTTAAACTTAAATTTAAACTAAAGTTAAACAGAAAAATATAATGTTGACGCATTTGCATCAGCTAAATCGGTAAAAATGTTGAAGTGCTAAATATTTTTTTCGTAAAAAATACTTAGTAGCGATTTAAGTTAGACTGTCTTCTCCCCCAGAAAATGATCTACAGTCACTTAAAGGGCACAGTTGTGTAATTTAGAGAACAACTCTTGTCATGTCGAGATTATGAGAAAATTAAGTCATGATAACAAGATAACAAGAAGGGGAAAACAATTATAATGCATGGCCGCTTAGAACTTCCGTACACATCTCTAGCACAACCACAGTGAAAATGATGTAGTTATTAAACTTACCTGTCCGAAAAAACTTCTTGAACAAAAAAAATAAAGCTGCTGGATCCTTGTGTTACCTGTATGACCGTGAGGAAATGTTTTCTTTCGATTGAAGTAAAAAACTCATTCCATCCACACTTGCACTTTCAGAATGATGAAAGGTGGAGCAAAATAATTTCAGACTGGTGTTGACCTCAGACAGTGAAGCAAAGAATAAAGGCAGTCGACTAGAAATGCAACTCAAAATTTCAAGTTTATTCTTAATTTATTTCTAAATCTTTGCCTGCCTATGTAATTTTCACAATGAACATATTAAATCAGTTACATAAATGAGTGTTTATAGATTGTACCTTATTTTCATATTGTGCTTCAGAATGCTGCATGTCATCTGAACGTTGTATATGTTTATTTTTGCATCGAGTGTTCTAAGGAAACTGTAGAAGCATGTGATTTACTGGAAGAAAAGGCTTCACTATGCGAGAAAACCACACCTGCTCAGTTCAACATTCATTTCATATAACAAATATTTGAACTGATGAATAGAAGGTATGGTTTTCTCACTTTAAACAAATAAACTTGCTATAATTAAAAAAAACTTTTAATATATATACATATATAAACTGATTAAACTGGAGTTTTGCTGTATATACAGGCTGTTACTGCGTGTTTACTGTGAATAAAGACCAACTGACATTTTGCAAGCAGTATGTAATAATAGTTCACTTCAGTACGTTGTGCTGCTTCATATTCTCCCGATGGACTTTGGGTTTCTTGACAGTGTTACCTTTGGCTTGCTTAGTTGGTGTCTGAAAGTCACTTAATTCTCAGAAATGTATCGATAGGACCACACTGTTGGCTATAATTGATTCACTACTCTGCTGTTGATTTCGGTGAAGCTGCTTTGGCACAATCTATATTGTATAAAGTGCTATAGAAATAGAGGTGACTTAAACTGAAATGAACAAACATTGATCTGAAGTGAGCTGAATAATGACATTATCATCTGTTTGAGCTGCTTTACAGCTGAATCTCGACTGTCTCCATAGTTGAGTTTCCATAATTGATTTAACCTTTTTCCTGTTTATCTCTGTAAAGCTGCTTTGACACAATCTGCATTGAATAAAGCACATTCAAAATAAACGTCACTTGACAAAAAACATCTCCCCATTATGGACTCCAAAAGCAAGTTGACAGTCCAAAGTTATAGTGTCCACACCCCAAGAGAATTCACAGAAACATGTGATTTACCAGAAGAGAAAAATCACAGTGCTTGTCAGACAAGTTTATAATTGCAAAACAAATTTTTGAACTGATGAACAGAAGGTGCGGTTCCTGTCATTACTACACTCGTACTGTGTCTTGCTAAGACGCTATTGGAAAAAGCCTTTTTTCTCCTGAACTGAAGCCTTTCTTCATTCACGCAGTGAAACTGCACGGCCATTGGTTTGTGCATTGTATAAAAAATGAACCAATGCACGAGCCTATGGCGACAAAGCCCACCAAAGCCCGCCAGAATGGGCGGGGTATCTGGCTATATAAGTGGGCATTCGCCACAGGATCCTCAGATTTCTTCTCTTTCAGCGACGACTACGCTCTACGCTGATCCGAAGCCTGCTCATCGTTGACACTCCTTCGCAGCTGGAATCGGGACCTCTCAGCACGGATGACCTGCTTCTCCGCCGCTTCAGCAACGCAGCAGTTCCAGTCCTTTTCCCCTGCCGCCATCCGGCGATTCTAAAAGAGCTTACTAAAAGAGCAAATTGGCGTTGCTGCAAATGCATCCCATGCATGGCGTCACAGACACCTGCAAATCAGAGTGAACCAGGCCTGTATAACAGCACTGGCCCCGTGGAAGAGCTCTCGCTGGATGGAACAGGGCGTAACCATGGGAATGGTTTGCAGAAGGACAGTTGTCATGACAGATGCCTCCAACACAGGTTGGGGAGCGCTGTGCGAAGGCATACCGACTTTCGGCCACTGGTCGAAGGCGGAGAAAGGCTTCCACATCAACTGCATGGAAATGCTAGCAGTTTGTCGAGCCTGTCAGTTCTTCCTGCCAGTCCTAAACGGGCACCATGTGCTGATCGGGTCGGACAATATGTCAGTGATATCCTACATAAATGTCCCCTCAGATGAGTAGACGCTCCATCCGCAGACAATTCAGAGGATCTGGGAGATCTTTGGCGAGGCCGCGGTAGACCTCTTCGCCCAACTTATTACTCAAAGACCAAGGACGCATTATCCCACGATTGGCCCAACCTCCTTCTTTATGCATTTTCCCCGATCGCCCTGATCCCACAGTTAATCAGGCGAATCAGGGAACAAAAACACAAGGTTCTCCTGGTGGCTCCTCTCTGGATGAAGCAGCTGTGGCTATCAGAGCTGACTCAGCTGTTGGTAGTGACCCCTTGGCCCATTCTGTTGAGACGGGATCTCCTCTCTCAAGCGAACGGGACAATATGGCACCCTTGGCCCCATCTATGGGCCCTACACCTCTGATCGCTCGACAGGAGCCTTCGAACCTCCCAGAGCAAGTCGTAAACACAATTTCAGAGGCTAGAGCCCCGTCTACGAGACGCCTCTACACCCTTAAGTGGTCTATTTTTTCCGCTTGGTGTCTAAACCGTGGCAAAGACCCTCTTACTTCCGATCTGTCAGAGGTGTTGTCATTCCTGCAAGAGCTGCTGGATAAGGGACGCTCCCCATCCACTCTCAAAGTCTACGTGGCGGCTATAGTGGCCTCTCATGCCCCTATTGCGGGCCAATCGGTGGGCAGAGACAGTGCAGTTATTTGCTTCTTAAGGGGTGCCAGGAGGCTGAATCCGCCTCGTCCCCTAACCGTCCCTTCATGGGATATGCCCACTGTGCTGAGGGCCCTAAAGGGCCCTCCTTTTGAGCCGCTTCTGTCTACCAACATTCGGTCACTGTCGCTGAAGGCTGCTCTGCTTCTGGCACTAGCATCAGTAAAGCAAATAGGGGACCTGCAGGCGCTCTCCATTAGCCCTGCCTGCCTGCCTCGCCGTCCACATTCGCAAGGTTTTACAACCTGGAGGTCCCAGCCTTGCAGGCCAGGATCTTCTCCGCTTGAAGAGACACGCGCTGTGTGACACAAACAGATCTGACAGAAAGCCCTTGACCATATCGCTCAAGCTCTCTGGCATTAGTTCACCTGTCAGCTCTCGACCCCTGGGTGTCGATGTTGCAGGAGTACTCTGGAACGATTAACCAGGCTGGGTGTGACCTCAAGAAGCTCAGCCCGTCTTAGCCTTGGGTTGTTGTTAACTTCTCTATGGGCATTGTTTGCTTATGGAAGTTATGATACTTATAGTCATTCCTCTACCATAGCATGGCGTGATTGTACTGTGTTCCCATAGCGTCGAGTACGAGTGTAGTATCGACAGGGAAAGAGTACTGCGTTGCTAGCCGTGCTATGTAGCCACACGACTCAGTAGTCGCTTCAGTCGAAGTAACCTGAGGATCCTGTGGCGAACACCCGCTTATATAGCCAGATGCCCCGCCCATTCTGGAGCTCCGCTGCCTAGCCATTGGTTTGTTTTTAATACACTGCACGAACCAATGGCCTTGCAGTTTCACTGCGTGAATGAAAAGGCTTCAGTTCTGGAGAAAAAGGTTTTTTTTCCCATATGCGTCTAGCAAGACGCAGTACTCATTCCCGTATCTCAGGGAACCAAGGTTACGTTAGTAACCGAATACGTTTTTTACCATGTGAATTGCAAACACACTTATAGAATGAACCTTATTTGAGTAGTCGCTTCAGTCGAAGTAACCTGAGGATCCTGTGGCGAACACCCGCTTATATAGCCAGATGCCCCGCCCATTCTGGCGGGCTTTGCAGCCATAAGCTCGTGCAGCTCCGCTGCCAAGCCATTGGTTCATTGTTTATACACTGCACGAACCAATGGCCGTGCAGTTTCACTGCATGATTGAAAAAAGGCTTCAGTTCAGGAGAAAAAAGGCTTTTCCCATAGCGTCTTAGCAATACGCAGTACTCGTTCCCGTATCTCAGGGAACCGAGGTTATGTTAATAATAGAGTATGTTTTCTCACTGTAGACATATAACCTTGTGTGAATCTTAAAAAAAAAACAGGTTGAAATATTTTTGAGTGTAAACCCGAGATGAATTGCAAAATATAAACTTAAGCCAAGATGGAGAAACAGCTGATCATAGCTGTACAAGGATAGCCATTTTTTAAAATAAATTTAGTAGCAGAGCTAATGCAAGGGATTTTTAGTGCTGCAAATCCATTGATCCTTTGCTGAAACTTCCGCGTCTTCATGGAGAGCGCAGGTCATGTATGCTTAGGGACATCAAAACCTCAAATAAAACTCCAGAAAGGTGTACAATATGGGATCTTTAAGTGACTTGTTAATATTTGATGTCCTCACTTATGTGA